GCCCAAGACAATTGACCCACGTTGACCTTCCATGTTCCAGTGATATGCGTTGACTGAGCTTTTGGTGGACCCTCGTGCAATGGCCTTCAGATCTGGATGGTTGGTAATTTGATGGTTAGGAGATGATGATCCATGGTGGTCTTCATGCCTTGGTTCTTGCCTGATTATCTGAATAAAAATAACAAATAATGGGGGACCTGGGATTCGAACCCAGGCCCCAAAGCCTTTTCCAATTGCTCCACTACCAACGGAGCCACGCGCTTCTGTTGCATGTAAAGAAACAAACAAATAATATAAAAAAAAAAGAAACAACTTTGTTAACTTCCTGCGCGCGAGATTTTAAACAGACGAATGACAATGTGCCACGCCAGTCATCTTCCTCCTCGCTCTGTTGGTAAAAGTCATAGACTTTTACCTACAGACAAACGTCCATCACTATAAACCTTGCACATTGCAAAATCATATACAGGCATGATCAATGAATTCTAAGACTGTGGATTGATTCGCCTTGGCCTGCTGAGCACGATGGTGCTCTTCTTGAGGGCCAATTTTATCTGTATAAGAAAAACCCAAAACACAACAGGGAACCCTAACAATGGTGGATTCTTGTACAGCTAACAATAATGCAATTAAATGGTATGAGTAGCTTGCAAATGCCTCAAGGAACAAGAATATGTAAATATTTCATGTTATAAGTGCCAAAATCATGTAATTCGATTTCAAGAACAAGCCAAAATCGTGAACCACTTACATTGGGTTTTAGCGTAGGAAAATCCTTGTTCTTGATTGGTATAGCTTGCTTGTGATCCCAGGAAACGAATGAGAGGGTTAGTGGATCTTGAAAACGCCTGGAAGTAGCAAAATAGATTACCACTTTTCTTTGATTTTTTCAAATTGGTTCTGCCTTTGTGCGCCTCCAAACCTCGTGTTTTAGGTCTGCAAATGTTCACTATATACCAAGGATTGGATTAGGGTTGAAATTATGCTCTCAATCTTTATCCATTATAGCTTTTGATTTTGATTTGATTCACTTGAAAATCTTTCCAAAATAGGCCAAACTCAATCTTTTTGTGCCCACCTATGCCTTGCACGAATTAGTTCACTTGCTAGCTGGATATAGGACCTGAAATATGCACAATATCTTGAGGTTTCGATGATTTGGATTTTTTCATGATTTGTTTTGATTTAAATTGATTTAATTGCAATAAAAATCAAAATAAATAATAAAAATAAGATAAAGACAAGTGGAAAGAGCTAGGGCTCATGGACCATGCTACCAACTCAAAACAAATGCAAAAGATTGGGCCCATTTAGCAAAAATTGCAATTTGAGGCATAGTTGACTTTTGACAATTTTGCAAAAAGGATCAACTTCACCAATGCATAACTTCCTCAATTTTGACTCTTTGAAGGTGTTCTTGGACTTTTTAGAAAGCTTGAGATGTCCTCTAAGCAACCCTTTTGGTATCATCTCAATTGGGTCTTCCATGTTCATGTATGAAGCTTTGACAAAAAAAGTGTTTTTGTTTACTTTTTAAAATGACCTATAATGTCCAAATTCATAACTTCTTGTGAGTGCATATTTTGAACTTTAGAGATGAAGATGGATTGTAGAGCATTTCATCCTATTCAAAATGAGCTTTGGATGGGTCATTTCTCATAAAGTATGAGAAAGTTATGCTTGGTCAAATTTGAGTTAACTTTTCCTGCAAAACCCTAATTTAGCAACTTTTGATTCTTGATGAATTATGAGCAATCCTTGATGAATCATGATCAACCCTTGATCAAATGATGAATGATACTTCAAAATGAGAATGTTGACAAAAAATCTTGAAGTTTGACTGTCTGTGGGCCACAGTTGACTTTTGCCCTAGCACAGTCGATTTTTAGGCCTTTGAGCAATTGACTGAGCAAACTTCCTCTGTAAGGCTTGAAACTTGACATGGATGATCTTGAGAACATATTAGGACAATGGTGAGCATTTGGTATCCCTTGGACTCAAGCATCTTGATGAATCATGAAACCCTAATTTGAGGTAGACTGCCTTAGGAGAGAGCTTGTCTGGTCAACCCTTGGACTTCCTTGAGCAACTTGAGACTTTCTCTTGAAATGTTTTGAGAAATATGGGAGGGAAAATTTTTGGGTACAACAACGTGTACATGTTATTGGGTCTCCCTGTCGATATTAAGGCGGTTAACGGGTTGGTTCAACAACCTAATTCTCTATGCGAGGAATTTTTGGGAAAAGATATAGTAGAAGGTAGTGGTGCTAGAGGCTAAGATATATTACTAACTAAACTCAAGAAATATTATGCGACTCTTGAGTTGAATGAAAATTCGTCTGAGCTAGCAAGAGTAATAAAAGCTAGAAATTATATGATGATACTATTTGAAAGCTTGTTATTTTTCAAAAGTACAGAGAATAGTGTAAATTTTATGTATTTAAGTTTGCTTAAGAACTTAAACAAGAAAGTATAGTTGGGGTTCTGCTGTTTTAGCCCATCTATACAGTTTTTTGTGTAAAAATGCAACAAAAGAAATATGTACTTTTTATGGATGCACTTTCTTACTCCAAGCATGGGGTTAGTGGAGAATGGAGTCCCTAAACCCCGTCAACAACAACGCATTCATTTTCCCATGCGCAACAAAGTAAGTCAAGAACTTAAATCATTTATCAATCATCCTTTCGCCAAATATATGTTTAAAATAAACTATTTTACAATTCCTTTAGGTACTGCGTGACGGATATGGATTACGGCAAGAATCCAAGATTCAATGTCACTCTATATCGTAATCTATTGAACCACCTTGGCCCGGATGATGTATGTGGTACCTTTGAACTTTTCTACTTTTAAATTATTTATTTTTTACGTTTTCATTATGCTGATTTAATTTTATCCACAATTTATCTAGAGACCATATTTGGGTTTGGACCATGAACCAAACCCCGAGGATGCAGCAGTTTGGGCTGCAAAGAATGCAATCATACGACTCAACATTGTGGAGATACACCACAGCGACTGTGTCAAGATGCAGTTCAGAATGCATCAAGAGATACCATGCGATCCAACTTTTTTGTCTCCCTGACATCTCAAAAGGGTCGACGCCCAATGGGGTCTTACTAATTTGAAAGATTTTGCTCCAGAATGGTGTAAGATGTGGCATATGCGTCACCAACATGTCTTGTAATTCCATGTTTTCCTCAACCAGAATAATATGCGACACACAGATCAATATTTTGCTTGGTACAGATCGGTTAGTAACCCAGAAATGCACGTATCTCATCCGAGGTATTTGGTTGACCCACGAACACAATGGGCACAAACCTCAAATCCCCAACAACAAATCCAACACACATCAACCTCCCACCAACCACCTCGACGATACAGATCCATAACCACCCAACCATAATCACCACCTCAATACGAATACACCCATATGCCCCACACTCAACAATCACCACCTCAATACCAATACACCCACATGCCCCACACACAATTCCAGTCTTCTCCATATCCTAATGTGGGCCCCTCATCATCTCACCTTATGCCTGATCTGGGATTTCCCGAAGAATATAACCCAACGGATCTAACTTACCATCAACCACCACATCATCATATCACCCAACAGTCGCAATACCAAACACCCCAAGATTCATTTCCTTTTTAATCCCCTTACTCAGACGATCAGTGTTATAGACCATCCATGGAACCCCACCCCCCACCAAGACGACCAAACTTTGAGGGCATGGGTAACCGACTATACCAAAGTTGATCTTTCAGATATGGTGATCTGACCAATTTCATGGATCCTGAACGCATTAACTTCGCTGGGCCATCAACCCAACCACAGCAGGAAAATCGACAAAATCCACCACGAGATAGGCGAGGACGCGAATGCGGAACCACGAGTCGTTACCGAGTTCCGGGGGACCACTAATTAATTTGTATGATTTTTTTTTATTATGTAATCGTTTTTTGTTAATGAAAAGTCAAAGTTTCATGAAGTTATATCGTTTACCTATTGTCTCGCATTAAAAATAGAAAGCAAAATAAATTGCACATCAATTACACATAGGCGCCATCTGAGATGGCTTAGGGAAAACATGTCACACCTAGGCGCCATCTCACTTGGTGTCTCCTCCTTAATTTTAGGTGTATGCACCAACTCAGTTGGCTCCTCCATTGTGGAATTTTCTGAAACATGATTATTTGTGTAATTTTTTCTGAAATATAGTTATTTGTGTGTTTTTTTTCAATACTTGATTATTGCTAAAAAAATTCAAAAGATATTTTCGCTAGAAAAATAAAAACATTATTTTATTTTGGGTTTTGAAAGATTAGTTTCAATTTATTTTAATTAAAAAACAGTAAAATGAGTAAATTATATGAGAAAACACAAATATATGATTTTAATGTAAGTTATAAAAATTAAGGAATTAAAACGTGAGTGTAACAGAAGTCATCAATAAGTTGGGGATTTAAATAGAAATTCTTTAATTAAAGAGTATAATTGATAATTGATCCGAATAAATCTTACAAGTCTCAATAACAAAATAGTATATGTATTGTTTATAAAAAAAAATAGTATATGTATTAAATCTGGTTGAATAAGATTTTCTTATTTTTATAAAGTTCTAAAAATCATAATACTTAAATATTTTAAAGTTTTGACCTATTGAATTTTCATATTTTTATTAACTTTTAAATTTTAATTTTTAAAATCTATTTACAATTTTAAAATTTTATTAGTTTTAAAAAAATATTATTTAACGGCATTTTTTCCATTTCCTTTAATTTCCTTAATTATAACCATGAAGAGAAATACTGATTTTGAATATTAAGATTAAATATATATTCCCTCCGAGAAATATTCTGTTCCCTACAATTTATCTCATTTCCCTCAACCATTCCCTACCATCTTAGCCTCACAAAAATCAACAATGCCTCCTCCTTGACTTTATCTCCACACCTTCCCTTTTTCAACATTAGGGACAGGAAGGATGGGGTTTGGGAATCCAACATGTCAACTACATGCCAAACTCCCCTTCCTACTCCCATCTCTCCTTCCCTTTTTCCTCCTCCTCCTCCTCAACCATTTCCATGTCACTGCCGTCACCAACATCCACCTTGCCATAATCCTAAAACCCCTCACCTTTCAAGAAGCACCTTCCTTTCGCAACGGCGATGCGTGTAACCGTGAGAGAATCCACATTGCTATGACACTTGACTCGAATTATCTACGAGGCACAATGGGAGCTATTCTCTCCATTTTGCAACACTCGACGTGTCCTGAAAACGTCGAGTTTCATTTTCTATGGGCGAGGTTCGAACCTGAAATATTTTACACTATTAAATCCACCTTTCCTTATCTCAAGTTCAAGATTTACCGGTTTGAGTCGAGTAGGGTACGTGGAAAAATCTCAAAATCTATTCGTCAGGCGTTAGATCAGCCTCTAAATTACGCAAGGATATATCTTTCTGATATTATACCAGGTAATGTAAAGCGGGTTTTGTACCTTGACTCTGATCTTGTTGTTGTTGACGACATTGCAAAGCTTTGGGAAGTTGACTTGGGTGGCAAGGTAGTGGCTGCACCTGAGTATTGTCATGCGAATTTCACAAGATATTTCACCGACATGTTTTGGGCGGACCCAGAACTCCCACGTGCGTTTCTCGGTCGGAAGCCTTGTTATTTCAACACGGGTGTTATGGTCGTGGATGTTGAAAAATGGAGAGAAGGAAGGTATACACAAAAGGTGGAAGAGTGGATGAGGGTGCAGAAGAAAAAGAGGATTTATCATTTGGGTTCGTTGCCTCCTTTTCTTCTGGTTTTGGCCGGGGAGATAAAAGGAGTGGATCATAGATGGAATCAACATGGTTTAGGAGGAGATAATATTGAAGGTAAATGTAGGAGTCTTCACCCTGGACCTGTTAGTTTGCTTCATTGGAGTGGCAAAGGCAAACCTTGGTTGAGGCTGGATTCACGGAACCCTTGTACCGTCGATCATCTCTGGGCACCTTATGATCTCTATCGCCCAACCTCACATTTTTATGAAGGATGAAAACGATAGTAGAAACTTCGAACACTCTGTAGCAACTATAGAGCCGTTGAATTTGAATCTAAGACAAAGAAACTTTGAACTTAGATCAAACGGTCTTGCAGTCGCTGAAAGATGGTAGCCAATATTGACAGAAGACATTGACAGGGGTCGGGGGAGGAAGAACTAAGCTAAACAGCCTACAATCGCCATTATGACTGACCATACTCTTCTGTTCTTCAGATACGATGATACCTACAATTGTCGTTATGTCTAAACAGCCTGATAGATTATGTAGATGTTGTTAGTTCAATTGCATTATCAATGTTAGAATACAAAAATTGTTGTTTTAATCATTGATGCAATATTAACACTATAAACCATGAAAAAAAAATTACATTTCATCTTTGGGAAATTGTCGATCAAACTTGGTAACGTCAATATTTCCGCTAGGTTACACATGATAAAAATGCAAAACTTATAAAGAACGTATAAGCATTTTCTTCATTTGACATTAAGAAAAAAAATGCAACAACGATATCTAGATCCCCAAGTAAAAGAACCTGGTATTTCGACGCGGAACTCTTTCATCCTTGGTGTTGAGGACTGTGATCTATCAAACACTTGATGAAATTTCACATCTCATTTGCTCTGTCATATATAATTGAGATTCATGAGAAAGTCAATAGCCAACTAGCCTTGAAAACAGTATATCGCCGAGTTGGGCCGAGCTAGTCCGTTTTCTGGAGCCATCCGAGCTGCAAGAAAAAAACAAGTAATCCTAACACTTTTCAACTATTGATAACTGAGAAAATTTTACTTTATCTATTTCTCGTTAGAGGGATTCAATTTTTAGAAATTGAGTACCTTCCATGCATACATTCCAAAGAATGCTATTATATCTGCCGACCAAACAACAGGAAAGGATTTCCAAAAGAATGGGATTCCAACATTGAGCAATGGGACTAGGAGAAAAAGATAGTTGAGAGCTTCTTTCTCATTCTTTGAGCAATCTCGAGCTCGTAACGAAGGAATTGCTACAAACATATAAATGAATAGCATTCACCATATAACTTATTTTATTACACTAACTAAAGAATCATAGCAATAATCAAGATCATCTTGCATGAAGGAACTACTATTAATTACATTTGATTTCAAAAGCACAAACAAACAATCTTCATCTTACAAACCGGTTGTCTGGAATTGAGTTAGAACCCAAACCTAAAATGATATCACGGACTATCTTGACCTGTCAATGGATCTCCGTTGGGAAATACTCAAGTCTAACTATAGCTAAAGATAATGTTTAAATACAACATATAAATTCTAAACAATCTTGAATGTTCCCTTACATGCCGATTTTGTGGGGTTAAGTTAAACTCAAATGCCTTAAAACCTAACATTATTTCTTGTAAATGCATCATATTTTCATAAGGTCGAGAAATTTAAGCACCGATCAATCAAGCAAGCACGTGTTCATTCATGCAACTATCAAAATTAGGATAGAAATCGATTAGGTATGAACTTACTGAACATCCAAATGGACCACATTCCCATCAATCTCCAAATATCAGGTTGGTCTGAAGGGAAAATGAGATTAAAAGACAAAGCTCCACCTAACAACATTGATACATAAGCTTGAACCTCAAAAACAGTATACAAGGTAGTTCCAGGAACTGCAGGGTTTTTCGAGGCCGTAGAAGCCCTTGGTGCAAAGGTTGCAGCTGTTTTCTGAGCAACCTATCAAGTTCAAAAACAAACATTTAGGTCCCTAGACAAAGTGGTCATAACCACTAAAAACTCACACACACAACCGTAAATATCAGGTTCAAACCCTTGTAATGATGTTCAATCTAGCAATGTCGGCTTTTGTCAGTTGAACTAGGATTAGCGGACCAAAAACTAACATTTAAAAAAACACCATTTTTCTTTATCTTTCTATAATACCTTCCTTAACTCTTAAGCAACATACAACAACAAAAAGCTTTTTCAAACAAACTAGTCAACTTCTAGTAAAGCAATGATTTTAAAAAAATGGGCACACTCAAAATTTGATTTAAATTGAAAATAAAAAAATGAAAGATTTAGAAACATACCCTTTTAAGCTCTTTGTCAATTGGAGTAGAAAAAGTGCTTGAAGTGGTTCCTTCATTGGTGTTGTTTTCAAGCACTTTAACCTCTTCTGCAAATTCTTCATTGGAAGTGGCACATGCAATGGGATAAGGTGAGCGTTTAAGGGTTGAAATGAACCTTGGAAGGTTGGTGTTGTTGGTTGGAACCCGAAGGAGTAAAGGGTAGGGTACCCTATAAAGGTAACGGTTTGCAGAATGGATTAAAGTGTTCATGTTTTTCTTCTTCTTTGGGAGAGGGTTTGGAAATTAAGGTGGCATCGGAAAGTTGATGGTGGAAGATAAGCAATGTGAGGTGGACTAACTAGGAACGATGTAATGATGTGTCCTAATGATGACTTGAGAAACCACCTTATGTTCTTAATGGTTGGGATTTAATGTTTCTTTGTTTATTTTGTTGTTTTTGAAGAAATAGTTAGTAGATATTTAAAGTATGGTCTCTTAGGACTAATTTGGAGATTAAAATTATTCTTAGAAATTAAGATGTACTAGAATTTCTATGAAAATGACAATAATCAACTATCTAGCTAAACATAGCATGACAATGTTTTCTTTATAATATACTTAATTCTTAAACTTAAATATGATTTTTTTAGGTGTTATTGATACTATTTTTTAAACAAAATATGAAAAATAAATAATTTCTTTTTACACATGTAATTCTTTTCTATTTTCAATTTCTATAAAATATTTAAATATATTTATCATATTTTTATTAAAAAATAATTTAAATCATATCTAAATAATTATATCTAAGTTTTCTTTATAAATAATTAACAAATGCTTTAAAAAAATATTCAATGTTCTCTCTTTAAGTGACATGCTAACATCATTTAAGAATACTATAAAATATATCTATTTAATTTAAATTCAAGATTGTGACGATGATAACTTTAAAGACAATATTATACCTAAAACTTATATAATATTATATAAAAAATTTAATTCTTATGTGGTATCTTTAAAATAATTTTAAGTAAAATTTAATAATAATTTTATATGACATCTTTAGAGCAATTCTAAATAAAACCAAATAATAATCTTATGTGACATTTTTAGAGCAATCCTAAATAAAACCTACTAATAATAATAATAATAATAATAATAATAATAATAATAATAATAATAATAATAATAATAATAATAATAATAATAATAATAGTAATAATAATAGTAATAATAATAATAATAATAATAATAATAATAGTTAAAATCTAATAATAATAATAATAATTAAAATCTGATAATAATAATAATAATTAAAATCTAATAATAATAATAATAATTAAAATCTAATAATAATAATAATAATAATAATAATAATAATAATTAAAATATAACAATAATAATAATAATAATAATAATAATAATAATAATAATAATAATAATTAAAATCTAATAATAATAATAATAATAAACATTAATAATAATAACAATAAAAAATATTATTATTGTTCATATTTCTATTCCAATTTTAATTATAAATTAATTTATTAAAACTCATGAAAATATTACATTTCTACTGCAAATATAAAGGGTATTTTAGATATCATATTTCTATTTCTATTTTAATTATAAATTAATTTATTAAAACTCATAAAAATATTACATTTCTACTGCAAATATTACATTTCTACATTAACCAAACTCCCATATATACATTAATTCATATTTATATTAATATTTCTATTATTCTTGATAAATACATATTTGGTCATTTTATCATACTATCACTATTTGATCATTTCATCACACAGTCATTTATCAAATAAATATCTAATCAAAATTATCAAAAATAGATAACAATGATTAGTATTGGAAACATAACATAATATCATTTTATTATTCTTAAATGATCAATTTGTCAAACTTTCTTCTTTAAATAGATAAATTCATTTCTTTTTCTTCATCACATGAATGTTTTAGAGTTTTACAAAGCATGAGATGAATAAGTGAATTATTCAACACCGATTCTAAAAAGAGAATTGATTTTTCTAATGGTAGTGTTGGAATAAAGGATTCAAGAAAGATGAATATTGTGAAAAACAAGAAGAAGAAGAAGAAGAAGAAGAAGAAGAAGAAGAAGAAGAAGAAGAAGAAGAAAAAGAAGAGAGAGAGAGAGAGAGAGAGAGAGAGAGAGAGAGAGAGAGAGAGAGAGAGATTGTTGAGTTAGTTAGTGTAACTAACTCTTAAAACTGAAACTGTTATTATTGTTGCTGCAGTTATTACAAAGTAATGGCCCTTTATATAGGCAACATGCTCAGGCCCAAATACAAGCTAAAACTCAAATAATAACTAACAAGAATTAACCAACTAACACACCCTCTTAATTCATGTTATCAATACTTCTCATCCCAATGCCTTTCTTTAACTCTTCGAATCTCACTTTCTTCGGAGGTTTGGTGAATATGTCAGCTAGTTGCACTTCTGTCTTGCAATGTTCTATTTCAAGCTTCCCTTTGTTTACTTGGTCTCTCAGAAAATGATACATTCGTTCAATGTGCTTACTTCGACCATAACACATTGGGTGATTCGCAAGATTTATTGTTGACTTGTTATCAACAAACAGCTTCATCTTCGATTCCATTATTCTGAGCTTTTCAAGTAGCATTTTGATCCATGTTGCTTGGCATGCAGCATATGATGTAGCCACATATTCTGCTTCGCATGAAGACAAAGCCACAATGATTTGCTTCCTCAAACTCCAGGAGATTGGAGCTCCTTCGATCATTAAAATGTACCCTGCAATAATCTTTTTTTCATCTTGATCTCCACTGAAATCTAAGTCAGTGTATCCATGCACTTCGACCTCTGTACTGTTCTTCGATCCTTTTGGCAACATCACACCATGATCAAAAGTTCCCTTGATGTATCTCAACACCATCTTTACTGCAATGAGATGACATTCCTGAGGCTTCTCCATAAATCTGCTCAACAATCCTACACTTTGGCAGATATGTGGTCTAGTATTGCAAAGATACCTTAATGATCCAATGATTTATTTGTAATGGGTCGAACTTACAAACTCATCATTTGATTCCTTCTTCGGCTTTGCTCCAGTATCTAATGGAGTAACAGCTTCCTTACAATTGCTCATATTGAACCTCTTCAATATATCTTGAGCATACTTTGTTTGATGCAAGAAAACTCCTCCTTCGATGTCTTTGAATTCCATTCCTATGAAGTAGGAAAAATTCCCTAAATCAGACATTTCAAATTCTTGCATTAACTTTGACTTTAATTTCATTATCTCAGCTTCATCTGCTCCTATAATGAGTAAGTCATCAACATAGAGGCATAAAATGATTTGATTGGCACTTTCGACATCATTTACATACACTCCATGTTCAGAGACACACTTTGTGAACCCTGCTTCGATTAGGAATCTATCTATCCTTTTATTCCAAGCTCTAGGAGCTTGCTTCAAGCCATATAGAGCCTTCCTCAATCTATAAACCTTCGAATCCTGCCCTTTGACGTTGAAGCCTGGTGGTTGAGTGACATAGACTTCTTCTTCCATAGACCCATTCAAAAATGCTGACTTCACATCAAGTTGGTGCATTTTCCATCCTCTATATGCAGCTATCGAAACAACAATCCTGATTGTTTCGATCCTAGAAACAAGCGCATACACTTCATCGAAGTCAATATCTGGTTGTTATAGAAAACCTCTGGCCACCAGTCTTGCCTTGTAGTTTACAATCTCACCATATGGCCTTTGTTTCACCTTGTAGATCCATTTCACATCAATTGGTTTCTTGTTGGTTCTTTTGACAAGTTCCCAAGTGGTGTTCTTCTCAATGGATCTAAGTTCTTCTTTCATGACTTCACACCAATTCGAATTTCTCAAGGCTTCACCCAATTTAATTGGTTCTGCTTCAGCCATCATCATGGCTTCTTCGATTAAGTCACCATCATCATATATTGCTTGATCTGGAAACCTCTCATATCTAGTCAACCTAGTTGACTCAGTTCTCGTTCTTATGGATCTTCTTTCATTCTGCACAAGTGGTTCTTCATTTTGACCAGTCAAAGTATCACCTTGTTCATTTTAACTTGTCAAAGCTTCATCTTCTTTGAACACAGTTATGACTGTGTCTGATTCTTGTCGAACTGCACTTCGACTCCAATCCCATCCTTTGATTTTGTCTACAAGAACATCTCTATTGATCACTAGTTTATCTTCGATTGGTGAATACAACTTGTATGCACCAGTCGAATGATAACCTATGAGCATCATGGCTTCACTTTGATCATACGGCTTCTTTCTCAATTGTTCAGGTACATGCCTGAAACATATTGATCCAAAAATTCTAAGATGACTTACATTTGGCTTCGACCCTGTCCGAGCCTCATGTGGTGTCTTTTCGACCATCTTCTTTGTTGGGCATCTGTTTAGAATGTATACTGTTGTCGAAGCTACTTCAGCCCAAAATCTCTTAGGCATGTTCTTAGCTTTCAACATACATCTGGTCATGTTTAGTACACTTTTATTCTTTCTCTCAGCAATGCCATTATGCTGAGGCGTATAGGGTGTAACAACCTCATGCTTTATACCTTCCTCATTGCAAAATCTGGAAAATTCTACTGAAGTATATTCACCACCACCATCAGTTCTTAACTTTTTCAATTTGCAGCCACTTTGTTTCTCAGCATGTAACTTGAACTTCTTGAACTGTGTGAATACCTCACTCTTCCTTTCAATGAGGTAAATCCACATATGTCTGGTGAATTCATCAATGAAAGTAAGGAAATACTTGTTACCTCCATTGGACTTTACTTCGAAAGGTCCACACACATCTGAATGAACCAACTCCAATTTGTTCCTTGACCTTACAGGCAAATCACGTTTGAATGCCTTCCTTGCCTGCTTAGCTTTGTAGCATTCTTCACATATTTGTTTTGGTTCCTTCACATACGGCAAACCAAGCACCATTTTCTTTTGATTGAGCATACATAAACTTTTTAAGTTTAGATGTCCATACCTGTGATGCCATAGCCAGTTCTTGTCTTCTTCTACAGTTGAAGCAAGACATTTGTCATCTGATGTGTTGATTTCGACTTTGAAGATTTTGTTCTCCGCCAATGGTGCTTTCATAATTAGCCTTCCATCATCCATATATACCTACATCTGATTATTCTCCAACTTCATATTGAAGCCATTTGCAAGTAATTGACTTACACTTATCAAGTTACTTGTCATCGAAGGTACATAC